TAAAATGATCGATATCTTATGTATTTATATACATAATTATACGGGTTATATTTTATACCATAGAGCTTGTCTGTGGTTCTATTAAAATAAAAAAGGTATACGGGGACTTAATGTTAATCATTACATTACTGTACCTAATACCTTTTTATTTAATGATTATAATTGGTAGTAAGGTATTTCGATAACGCTTTTCAACTTTAAAAAAAAACGGTTCTCTAAAAACGCCATCATGCTTACAACACAAACCAAAAATCCACGGCCCTTGAATTCGTTGTCCGTAATTTTGATTATTTATTACTTCGTCTTCATCTGAACTCTCATAATTTTCATCAGACTTTTCCTCAGATTTGCGATCTCCGAGACGTAATCTTCCACGATTATATTTCCTTTAACCTTAGAACAAGGATTCATCTATTTGCACAACTAGGCCAGGACCTCACATTTTCTTACGGTTTTGAAATTCAGCTACTGCTACGTCTCGACATAAATTAAACCAGTCGACTATAGTTGATTTTGATCTTTTCGTAAACACCTCGGCCTGTGTTACTTTTATTTGAAATACCCAATACCAAAAAAATTCTACGATATCGCACAAATTTAAACCACTGTTACACTTCCTATTTTTATCCATATACAATATACATAAAGAAGTTATTGTTTTTGTGTATGGAGTAAAATGTTTGACACCCTTTTTTTGTACATCGATTTTAAATTGTTTTCAAAATATTACCTTCCAAATCACGTTTTTGACTATTTTTCAAATTTTTTTTGACTCATCACCACAAATTGTTTGGTTTTTAATTTGTATACATGTTTGGTCGATTGGTAATAAACCGCGTATGTTTAAAATATGTTCACACATCTCTTCATTTTGAATTATGCGTCGATATAAATAACTCATAGTTGACAAACTCATAATAATTAATAAATAATTCACAGTAAAACCACATATAATCGACACGACTCACAAACACACACTAAACAGGAATAATATAAAGATATACCTAATAACCTACCTAACCTACTAAGGTATAAATATAATATAATTTGGGGTTTCGATAAGAGCTTAATTTTAATTGCAAAATGATAAAGTATATAATTAGTGTATAATATAATATACAGCATACGGACAAACGGTAGATATCATACTAAACTAGGTATCATAAAATTAGGGTAGATAAAATATTTACAGTAGATAGCATATTGGATGAGTGCCAAATATTGTTTTCAACACACAAGTGACATTATCTGTGCAAATGTTGTATGTATACTTATATATAATTTAGCATAATATAGTAGATAATTCTTAAAAATCATAATTTTTTTTTTTTAGATCATATTTTTTCTACATCCTATTACATAGTATTATAACATCAATATAAAGGGGAAAAAAATAAAAGAATTTAAATTGAAGTAGTATGTAACTAACATATAGACAGTACTCACGTAACCCTGTGTTTAAAATTTCATTACCTACAGTAAACATGATAAACCAAAATAATAACGATGAAAATATAATATTCATCACTAAAGGAAGCAATTATTAGTATTATTACTATCTCAAGCCATTGGTTTGTGCGCGAATACATTTCCTGTTACAACGTAGGTAGTATCATCTGGTTTTACTAATGCATAGGTCAGTCGCCCTGCAACTGCATGACCCACGTATTTGCACAATATTTTATTATGGCGGATGGGCGATGTGCTTTACCCTACACCTATATCCATAATAAACTGCACATGTTATAAACATATCATTTTAAAACTGCATATGAATATGGCGAGTTAACGAGTAAGTCCTATTTATTCGTTGTGAACAGTACTGAACTATAGGCCATTTCTCCGCAATGCATTGTGATTATATGCATTAGTTTACATTGTTCGACATATTCTATAATAAGTAAATGTATAATTAGTACACTTTGTTAATCATTAAAAAATAATTTTTTTTCAGAATATTATATCAATTAAAAGAATGCAAATGTATTAATGAAAATATTCAATTTTCAATAAACGGCACTGGGGAAATACAATTAATAACGATTTATTTTTCAAGTGTATTTGAATCTAACCGAACTGACACGAAGACCATCAATATTAAATTTAATAGGTGGTACCATTGTATTTTAGTTATTTCTTTGTACGACGTGATTGAGCATAATGGTGCAAAATCGATTACCCTAAAATAAATATAACCGATTTCTCACAGACACGTACAAGTATATATTTTTATTTAAACCAATACAATTAATAATAAAAATAATGATTATTATAGTCATCAATACGAAGCTCTTTATAACATTGTATTATAGCTTATCATAAAAATCAAATTTATTCAAGAATCCAATCGTTTATATTTTAAAAATGTCCTTATTGATTAAATAATTTTTAAAACACTGCTTTTATTTAAATTAAGAAAAAACATTGTTTTACGTTTTTTTTTTTTTTTTATACAATTTTATTGAATTTGTCTTATAATATTGAACATTATTTTAAGTCAAAAAATTATTTATAACTTATTACTTGTTTATAATTAAAAGTTATAGACAACGTAACATTTTTAGCATATTATAGAGTATAAATTATAAATATATGAAGTTAGTCTAAAACAAAAATACCATGACTGAAAGACTATATTCGTAAGTCACAACAGACATAAAATATTGCAATACTATTAATAGTATAAATTAATGTAAGATACAGTCCTATTTAAAATGTTGATCAAAATTCAATTAAATTTACAAGATTAAATTATGTATAGGTGCCCATACCAAAATACTATTACGTTTTAGTAGAAATAAATTGTGTTCCTAATGACCCAATAAATTATTCATTGTTGAATTGTTTTTAATTTATTTAAACAGCTTTGACTGATTTGGTTTACCTAAAACAATATATTACTATTTAAGTGAAAATATTAAAATGAATTATTTATTTATTTTCAATAATAAAATATTAGCTACTTTAAAAAAAAACATTCGTCAGTATTCGTATGTTTTATGTAGATATACATATTTAAAAATAATATCAACCTACTAAAATTCCATATTCGTTGAATTATTTATTACTTAAGTTTATTTTCGATTTTTGTTAACCCGGTTATTATTTTTTTTTTCAATCATAAATATTTTATGATATTAATTCACTATATACGCGACTCACAATGTAACGTTTTTTAAATGCCTTTTAAAATAATATTCAATATTGATATTTTAATCGTTTAGATCGTCAAAAACATTGAATCCCTCTTAATGTCATACAATTTAATAAAATTCATCATTAAAAAGAATAAAATAAGTTTATTTAGTTTTAAATTAAAAATTTTTAAGAGAATCAAAAAATATAATTTTAAAAACAATACTAAAAATAACCAATACATATGTGTGTGTGTGTGTATTCTATACGAATGATAAAATAATAAAAATAATAAATCAATAATATATTATAATATAATTAAATAGCTACTAAATATTATGCATTACTTAAAATTTGCTGTTGTCTATTGCTTTGTGCAAATTGTATTAAATTTATGGTATTTTATTCTGTTATTCATTTAAAACTTCTTTTAAGTTGTTTGATATTGATAAGGTATTTAGTTTATTTTAAAATTCTAGGGTTCTCAAATTATAATAATGTTGAATGGTTAAGTCAACTAGATATTTATCACAAAAATGTTAGATATTTACTACCTAATTAACAATGACTGAGTCGAGAATAAATTGCCAATCCTTGCTTTTGTTGAAATAACATGTAAGTGTAAAATAATTATGAAGTAGAAATTTAACATTCAATAACATGATATTTGTTAATTGTTTAGTTATACCTCTAAACCTACATTTCATGCACCAGTGCATATTTTTTATAAATATTCCAAAAATATTTTAATAGAAATTTAACAACTCACGAACAAGAATAAACAATTCGTGAAAAATATGTTCAAAAATGTGCACTGAATGATTTAATAATTATCTTTATCGTCTATTTTATCCTTTAATCATGCATTTCCAAGAACAAGGAAAAAATGATGTTATGCATGTTTGTTAAATCACTCTATATCCAATGGATTCTATCCATAGTATGGTCACAGCATGCTACACAATAATCATAATAATAAACAATATTGTTACAAAACTTCACAACATGATATAATGTACATAATAGACATATTGTATATTTAAATAATCAATGAATATTATAATAGGTGAAGGACATAACTGAAGATCAGAAAAGATTGGAGGCCTTAACTTTTTTCAAAATATTTTTAATATATTATATAATATTTTTTTAATTTATTTTTTTTTCAATAAAACCCTCTAAAAACTATCATTGATTGCCTGCTAGCTATTATTATTAACAACGTATTATCTTAACGTACCTATTAAAATAACAAAATTGTAATTTATCGTATAAATATTTTATGCGTATATTGTAATATATTTTACTATAATTTTTATCGTGTCATAATATATTAACGAAACGTTATAAAATGTAAGCATAAAATATCAAACTTGTAATTAATAGTGGAAATATATAAAACAATTTAAATTAAAAATAATAACAAATGTTTAAATTGATGATTATAATGTATTTGTAGTTATTGAATTTTACAATCTTGATTTGACTTAGGTACTTAATAGTTTAATAATTATAATGTAATCGTTCGAAATTAGAAGCGTTCATTATAAGTATGAAAAAATAATCTTTAAAAACTCTTAGTTTCAGTTCTTTGAAACATAAAATTAAGTTAATATATTTTATTACGATATATTTTAACATTATTGACTATTTCCAATATTTATATTTTTTTAATAACTAGACAAATATACTCGCATAAAAATAACATAATATTTTCTCAACGTTTAAAATAATTATGTTTTTATTATTATTTAGAAAATAATTGAGTACAATTTACTCCTACCAGTCCTGCGCCTGCCGCTATATAATATCAGGAGCCTCCTGATACGGCATACATAATATTATAAACGACATCGAGAAGGCCGCTGCCGTGGTAATCGGCAGGTACACACATCACTGTAGTCGTCACTCATCGCCGGTCCGTCCACTAGTACGCAATACGTTTTGTCTTAACATCATATTATTATTTTTGAAATACAAGACTGTCACGCAATGAAGTACGCAAAATTGAGTTCCGGTGGAAACATGCCGATGGTCGGCTATGGTACATGGCAGGTAAGTGCTACGATCAGAATAAAATGCTATAATATTATACTTATAATAGGTCGGTAGGTACTCGTTGTACGCGCACATACAAGGCCGGGAGAATGAAGAACAATTTTGACGAGATCATAAGGTTTATTACTGCAGTTCATTGCAATTTCTAAATAACCCCGCTTGATTAAAATTAAATTAAAAAAACATTTTATTTACATCGATTTGAGTACATTTTTTTTTCAAATCATTTTTCTTACTAAAGCGGACCATGATAAATCATAATATTATTATATCATCATATATGGCTCTATTAGAAAATACACACGAGTTGACAAATTCGTTAAGCTATAATTCTCTTAACTCAAACTCGTATTAATTTTTTAAAGCCCAGCCTTGCTTGTTAGTCGACAGTCGTATTATTTATCAACCAATTTAAAAATATAAAAAATGTATGTAAATACCTATATTAATGTTATGCTATATTATATACTATATTTATATTATTTTATTGCGTTTCGTTCAGTATATGGTAACACTCTGACTTGACAACAATAATATTCTATTATTATTATTATTACTACTACTATTATTATTTTTATAACAAACTCAGATGGAACGCAGTGAGAACCAAGATGTAAGTACAAAACAAATATCAGTATAAAAAACATACTGTACAATCGAGTAAATCACTATTCTTGTTGTAATAGAAATAATATATTATATTATGTAAATAATATATTATATTATGTAAATAATATAATGTGATTCACCATGCACACTCGTTTTTAAATTAGTACTATCATATTATATTTTGAATATTTGCATAGTTTACAGATAGTATACTTATCCTAGACCATTACCAATGTACCTTAAGGATTCTGCCTTAAAGATTAATAGCTTCTCTACTTGTATTTAACATCATATTAGTTTCTGTGTCATGTATATCATATGTTCTTATTATACACAAGCTATAAATTATAAATTTTTCTTTTTTTTTTTTTCATTAAAAAAAAAAGGTGTATTATAGCTTATTATTATAAATAATAATAACTATTTAAAATTAATAATAATAATAATATAAGAACATAAACATTTTAATTATTATATTATATTACGTTATATAATTAACCTCTTCCCGCATAGAGGCATCAAATGGTGCCATATATATTTATTTTTATTAAAAATCAGCTTAAATTATAACAGTCTTCATATATCATTCTACATTATGATAACATAGTAATGTTTATATTTTACTAGTATAGGTAGCGCTAGTCATATTTAAAATTGGTAGAAAATGACTAAAAACAGAAAGACTACAGCTTTCCAAAATTACTACAAGTCATCCACTTTAGACAATTTTTTTTCATACATAAAAATCAAATAAACTTTTCGAAAAAAATATTTCTGAATAGATTTATAACTTTTGTTTAAGATAATATTAATTAAAACCGGTTTTGGTAAATGGAAGAATTTTTATAGCGAGATTTGTTGATGGAAACATTTGGTGCCAGCCCGATTTGGTGGATGTATTTTTTCAATCAATTTTATGACGTTTTGTCTATTTACGTACAAACTATTGCATGTCTTTACATGCGTCTTATTTTTGTTTTTATTTCATCTATGGATTTTAAATTGTTTCCATTATTATCAGTACGTTGTGTTGTTGTACGAGTAAAGTATTGTTTATTTGGTCTCATAAATATATATTTTTTTTCAATAATTTGTGAAAATGTCTAAATTAAATGAACATACTATTGCGGATTTGTTGGATTTTGAAATGGATGAAGACGAAATGTCTATACCTTCTGGGTCTGAATTTTCTGACCAAGAAGAGGACGAAGAACATTTTTTCAGTGAGTTTGATGTACCAAATTATAATACTGATAATAATTGTTTCGATGATATTATGGATTGGCCTGTAGAATGTGTGGAAAATACAGACGTACTTCCCACATCTACCAATAACATTCACGTAGATCAAAATCCTATTATTATAAGTGTCCCTCATATTTCATTACCTAACCTAACAAGTAGGTAAATTTTAAATTGTAAAATTTTTAAAACGATACAAGTAAAACTTTTTTTTTGTATGTAAATTAATTTTTTATTTCAAGCTATAAAATAATTAACTAACAATTTTAAAATTTGGAATTTAATTTTTTTTTATATTTGATGTATATGTATGTTATCATAAAATAATTAATCAATTAATACTTCTTTTGTTTTATAATAATAAAATTTAAACATATTTTATACACTATTTATTTATTTGTTTGTGGTAATGTAGTTGAGTACTTCAAAACGGGATGGCACCAAATGTTGCCGGATTTTGTTTTTTAAATATCTTTTTAAATAATGTTTTGATATTTTTTTAAGTATTTTTTTCGAATTCTACGTCAAAATTTACATATAGGTACATTTTTTTTTTGTTAATAAAAGAAATCATGCATGAAGAGGTTAAATGAATACGGTGCTATCGCAAACAGAAGTATTTTATTTATATAACGGTGTGTACTATACATCAAGTCCTAGAAATTAATTGGTTTACTATATTGTTTACCTGGAACTCTATTTATTTTTTTTTTACTTTTAAGCATGTATGAGTAAAAATCAAGATTAGAATAAATTCATATCTTTTCTTATTTACAAAATACAATTAACTGTTTCGTCTGAATAATTGAACAACATTTAAATTTAGATTAAACGACTTCAAATCCCATCGTATGTTAATTGATTCATTAGGTATGGCGATATATTATTATATTGGTAATATTGCATTAACTGTTAGGTGATTTTTGTGTGTCTTTACTCACGTGTGGTAATGTCAAATTCAGCGTTCAAAATTGAACAAAAATAAAAAATGAAATACCCTGTCTATATTAAAATAGGTATAGAGTAATATACTTATTTTTCATTTAGTACTGTTAAAAAGTTAAGGAAACTGTTTAAATATTTTCAAAACCAAACTTATATTATTGAATCTCGTATAACAATATTTTTTCGTGTCAAATAAATATCAAACCTTGACAATCGTATAAAAAAATAACAAAAATCATTAAATATAAAATAAATATGACCTTGACAGATTGTTAAATAAATTACAATAATTACCTAGGTGTATTTGCTAAAATATTCGGTGTCTTAATAATAGGTTATTAGCCTAAGGATACCACGTTTTACTTTTTGACAATGCAAACAGCGATGATGCAAACAGTAAGAATATCATAATTACTGAGTTAATCCTCACTCACAGTATGTATACAAGTGTATAGACGTAAAATACTTACATTTTTATTCATTAAAAAAAATCATCAATAGATTGGGAGAAAAAAATGACTTTTAACGGTTCTTTTTTTTTAATCTATAGTAATAAAATGATTGCAACGTATAGATTTATACTCATAATACAATAAGTAAAAATGCGTTCAAATCATATCTTAAATTGTAGTAGTTATTCACCAAGTACAAGTCTAATACATTTTCAAAAAACTCCTGTGAACTGTTTAGTATGTTCTATAGCACCGTAAAAAAATAACCCCAGAAACTTAGTCCCCAAAAAAATAAACCCGTATGAGATTTTGCAAAATAAAAAATAAAATAATGGTTAAGAGGAAACAATGATTAACATTTTATCATTATAATAATATAAATTATGTTTATTATATCATGTTATTGATTATTATTATTACATTTTGAGTTTGCTATTGACACTGCGTATGGTAAAATAAAATTGTTATGTCCTCACAAAAAATGTTAAATTTGGATTCAATGATAAATTATTATGTATGATAAAAACTATTCAGAGTGGTAACGGTCTGTCTGTGATATCAAACAGATATATAATAAATACAGATATATCATGTTAAATAATAAAAGTGCAGATAACTTTATCTTTAATATTATGATAATATTATAGAAATGGCAGTTTATAAGATTTATGACGTTCTGTGTGTGTTCATATCTGTGTATTTGATACTACGGTGTGTGTTTTTATGAAGACGTATTCGTATTCGTTTTAACAGTTTCTGTTTGAATAATATGGATAGTATATGTATTATTGAGGGTCAGATGAGCAAAAAAAATAATTTGAAAGGCATTTGTAAGTTATACACAAAATGTGTCCAAATTTTATAAAGTGGAAATTATACAAAAAAATAGTTGTAAATGTCCATGCATTTTAAAAACTTTGTTAGACAAACAATCAAACATCAAAATTGATTATCAACAATATCTTCCGTGTTAAAATAAAATTCATACAACAAAAAATAAAATACAAATTAAAACACAAGCTAAAAAATCAAAATCTACTTATTTTCAGAAGCTGTAACCTTCTTTCAGGAAATATTTTTGAAAAACTTCTCTAACAAAATTCAATAAAAAAAACCACTTAGAATTAAAGAACTTAGAATTTTCCAAAAGTATCTGATAATCTCAGACTTAAAAATAGAAAATATGTTATTCTTTTTTATTTAAATTAAATTTATTGAAACTATTATAAATATGTTTTAATTGAGATGTATACAAAAGCGAAATAGAGTGATAATATAATAGCATCTATTGGCTATTGATTTTAAAATATGATACGTACTGTTTGTTTTTAAACATCTTTTTTAATTTTGAAATTCTGAGTATTTTTCAAAATCGCTGTTAAGAACAAATGGAAATAAAGAAATAACCGAAATTTTACGCAAAACCAGTTTTTGACAAAATCGATTTTTCTTTTTTATAGTAACACAAAAGCGAATAAAGTGTAATACTTTTTAAAAAAATGTAACCATTAACTTTATTAGATAAAATTTTCAAAACATTTTTAGGCTATTTGTCAAAATTTGGAATTTGAATTTTCTTTCTTTTTTTTTTTTTGATAAATATAAATTACAGATATAAATTGTTTGCTGGGTCAAAATGCTAAAAAATCGAATATAATGTTCCATAATCGCTATTTAATATTATACAATTACATACACCTTTTATAAAATATAATCAATAAAATAATATGATATAAAAAATGAAACGTG